GGAAACATTTTGCACAGGGCTCTTGTCAGAGCATCTGTTCCCCTCATTTACAAAGCAGCTGTTTAAGCTGTGCTTTGTAAGTGTGTAGTGTGGCATATTACTCATCTAGTAATTCCCTGCTCCATCTAAGAATAGGATGGGATGTCCTCTCAGTTCCACATACCTTTGCCTGTGGGGATTGGAGTTTTCCAGCTGAGCTGTCTGCCTTGGACCAAGTTCTTCTGGAGAAGTACCAGCTCAGAGTGGGACAGTCAGTTCTGAGAATAAAACTGTGGAAAACCAAATCATTTTTCCACCTTGAAGCAAGCCTGGCTCTTGTGGAAAAGGCAAGGGGAAAAGAAGGGAAATTGTCAGAGCTTTTCAGTTAATTCCCTGAATATGCCTCTACATGGACCATGTTTTACCTTTCCAATGTCTTCCTCTGAGCTGTCCTTGCCTTTTTGCAAGCCTGAGGGCTTTGGCCACAAAGAGATCAGTGGCCTGTCATTGGGGGAACCTTATCTCCATTTGGTGGCTTCCAGGAGGAAGTGCTGAACTGGCTGGAAGCGTGATGAGTTTGTAGTTCATGCTTTTATCATGTTTAAGGCCATTTTTTTTTCTTTTTAGAGACAGACCATATCCCAGAATGGAGGAAGTTATAGGGTTTCTAGAATATGTTAAGATCTGTATGAACTAATCCCACTGGGGTATGCCTGGGGCTCACCTAAAATCATCATGGAGTGCTGTGTCTGGTTCTGTGCACTCATGGAAGAGACACCAATGGACTGGAGCATGTCCAGGGAAGGGAATGGAACTGGGGAAGGGGCTGGAAACAGCCTGGGTGCAGGGAGCTGGCATTTTACCCTCCAGGGTAGCCCTGCAAGTGAAGATATTCGAAGTTAAATGCAAAAAATAATCATGTTTACAGTGAACTGGAGCCCCAGCACTTGTCTGTTGGCTGATGGGCAATTAAACTCTCCCAACAGGTTTTCTGCCCAGACATGATAAGACAGGAGGGTGTGAGTGAGGTATTATGGACAGTTTCTGGATGCATCTTGTCCTCGGGGTTTATTCTGGGGGCTGATGCAAGGGGACATCTCCCGTGGAACACCCTTTATGTTCATTTCACAACCGATTTGCTTCGAACAAATGCAGACATGTGTGATCTGCATGAGAAAAGCTCGCGGGGGGGGGGGGTACAGGCTCGGGGGTGGGCAGAGGGTGGCTGGGTGGGCTTCGGGAAGGCCACCTTGGTGGCAGCCCAGCCTCCAGGGAGAGCAGCAGAGGCAGCTGACTGACTCCCAGAGCAGATTTGGTACCTGAGGGCGGAAAACTCGCTGGATGAGCGGGTCAGCAAAATCTGTCTGAGCTGTTTTCCGCAGGGCTTGGTCTCAGAATTTATGTACCTCGGAGCAAAGAACGGCCAAAGCTTGTGGAAGGCATCGTTATCACTAATCATGCAAAGCAAAACTGAGCTTCTGCAGTGCTGCCCTTCCAGGGACAAGGGCAGGGGTGGTGTTTTGGCGATGCAGAGGATGCCAGGGCTGGGAGAAAATTCCTGAGGCTTGTTGGCATAGGTGTAAGAAGGCAAAGAAAATTCCTGGGGCTTACAGAGGCACTGTAGGGAGAGATGTTTTTGACTGCTGCCTTTCAGAGGAGACAGAGAGAGGGCAGGGGCTCTGGCCGCTCTCCCCAGTTCTGCTGTTCTATCCCTTCTCATCCCAGACTGGGAGAGGTTGGTACCCCGGCTGCCATTGCCTCTGGCAACCTGTTGCCCTTGGCAACTCCCCTGCCCGGGGGCTTGTGCCCTTCTAACCAGCCTTTGGTCACAGCAGTGTAAAAGGGAGGGGTTCTGCTGGGGTTACTTCTATTTGAACTGACATTTCCCAGTTCCCTCCTCTCTTAATTAGTCCATTCCCTGCTTCTCTTCAATCCTGCTGGAAATCTTTCTGTGTAAGGGCATTACACAGCAGAGTATTTAGCCCAAGTAGATTAGGGAAAGGCAGGAAAAGCTTCTGATTGTGCTGTATCTGTAGCATAGGTGTTAAAGATGTATTTGTGAGCCAGTCAGAGAAGAATGCTGAGGAAATCCTGTTTGGGTTAATCTTGTTTAATTTTATAATAAAAAACAGATGGCTGGCCATCTGGAGCTTCTTGCAATCAAATATCTCACAATTAACAGTAATTTACTTGCCCTGAGACTTCCATGATCTTCATGTGCTTTTTTTTTCCCCCCTTCAACCTGTCTGTGTGGTCCCTTCCCAGGGTAGTGCTGAGTGTAAGCTGCCTGGGGAAAGGCATGATGGAGGGGCTCCCTGGAGGCATCTGCTTTCCTCCTGGATTTTCCACTTACACCCCCAAAACTGCAGCTTAGGCAACCGTACCTTGTGCTTTTCTGACCCTGTAGGAGCCACTCAGAGTAAGCAAAGCGAAGGACTGTACATACCTACAGATGGGTCATGGCAAGATATGTAAGGCAGCACTTAAGGGGAACATACAAATTAGATCTACTCTTTTTACCAGGCTGTGGGAATTCTTCAGAGCTCAAAATGATTCTAATCTGAAGTGGGTTTGCTCCAGCAGTTTAAGTTATTGGATGTAATTAAATGAGATGCAGGTGATCCTCAGCACTAGGAAAGCTTTCTGAGGGAATTATCAGCAAAATGGGATGGAGAGTGAAACCCATGGGGCACCTTTTTCTGTGCATTCTTATCTCCAGGAGGTTGAGAGACCCTCAGGATTCATTATTTCCAGAGGTGACACTGGCAATGGAGACTGGCCTCTTCAATAAGTTCAGGTCTCTTTTGATTATGTCCTTCCCAACCAGCCATGTATTTGAATAGCATCAATAGTGAATGTGAATAAATGAATTCCAGATGAGGGATCTGCATGCCGGTAGGTAAGAGCTCTCCCAGGCATTCCTGGGTGATTGCTGGCTGTTTACTATCCTAATATTTTTTTGCTAGCAGATTAAGAAAAATAACTGAGCTCTTCCCCTCCTCCTCCTCCACAAAATCGCTGGCTTTGCATGCACTCAGGGAATCAGGTCATGGAGCTAAAGGATATATTCAGATACCAGGGGATGTTGGACTGCAGCTATGCTCCATCCTCCAAGTTATTTAAATGGAGAGGAGCCTTCTGAAGGGCAAGAGCTCATTTTAACAGGGTTCCCAAAGGGATGTCAGGGTATTGGTGGGATTGATGGAGCGAGCAGGGGTAGGGTTTCACGCTGCCCCAGCCACCAAATGATCAGATCTCAGAGGTGCAGCTCAAGAGTGGATCCAACATCCATCCTGAGCAGCTCACCAGCCAGCAAGTTGGAAAAAAGGGCAGTTGGAAAAACAGAGTAATTAGTGGAATGGCAGGAATATGCAGGTCAGTAAAATGATTGTTATTATTAGTGGTTAATATTACAGCAGTGGGAAGGTGCTGCATATGCTGATCCAGGACCTGCGTACGTAGAATTGTTCATGAACATTTCTAGGCAAGTGCTGCTCACCTCTCAGAACACATTCTGGAACCTCTGCACCCTGTTTCCTCCCTTTTCTTTTTCCTCTTTTCCTGGTGGGAGCAGGGCAGACTCTTTTGCCCTTTGATGCTGGTTTTCCCCTGCCTGATGCAGCCTTTGTCTGCAGTGACTTTTTCAGAGAAGGATAAGAATTGATGGGGCTTGGAGCAACCTGGTCTGGTGGAAGGTGTTCCTGCCCATGGCAGGGGAGTGGAACAAGAAGGCCTTTCAGGCCCCTTCCTCCCCAAGCCATTCCATGATTCTGTGATCCAGTGATTAGGACCTGTCTGTCAGGTGACCTCATGGGAATCTTTTCTGTGCTACTGGGCACGTCACTGAGGATGTGATTACAAGCTTTGCTCCAAACTCTGCCTCAATTCAGGTTTTCCCACCCACCCACCCAGTTATGTGGAGTGGATGGAGGCCCTGGGGCTGAGTGGGATTGCTCCCACATGAACGTTTCCATCCTTGTTCCTGCCACTGGCATGGCACAGGCACCCACCATGGGTGATGCTTGGCTCCGGCTGCTTGGTGTGTTTGCTGCCCAAGGGGTGTGTGGACCATGAGACTCCCTCCATCCTACTCTTTCCCGTGCCCCTTGGACACTTGGAGTGGTTCACCCTGCAGGACTCATTGCTCCATTGCTGCCACCTACCAGGCTGTAGGAAGCCTGGATGCCCAGCACAGCTGTGACACTGCTCTGAAGGGTCCGTGCCATCCCTGCCGGGCAGAGGAAAACCAAGAGGCACTGGGGACAAATAGATGCTGATGAATCAGCCATGCCAAGAAGTGAACCTTGTTCTTGAGGAGAGCTGGATCTTGCCAGCACAATAGCTGGATTACAAAACCATTTCCTCCAATTACCTTCTCTGTCAAATCTCTGTGTTGTCTGGCACTAGGAAAGCTTGGATTCAAATTCATTGTGAATTGGGGCGACGACACCAGAGATTTCTAAATTAATATCCTGCCAAGAGGAATTGAGCTTGTTTTTTCCAGTCATGTCAGTTCTGATTCCTTTGCTTGTCAGAGAAAACTTGGGCATGCCATCTGGTTTCAAGGGCACAGAGTAAGGAATCATAGGTTGCTCAGCCCAGCATGTTGAGTTTGCTGTGCAACAGCTGCAGGGAGCTTCGAGGGGGGAAAGAAAAATTAAGTAAAAGGGCTTTGTGGGCCCTTCTTGGCACCTGGCAAAGGGCAGAGGGGGAGACCAGAGGCACGGGAAAAAGAGGGCATGACCTCTTCCTTGGAACAGTGGGAATGTGCACAGCAGAGTGGACTTGGATGAATTACTGCCCTCTTCACGTCTTCCCAGTAGACAGTCACGAGCCATTCTGGATGCATTAACCATGGACTGCTTGCTCCACAGGCTGCATTAAATACATTCAACTGAGTGCCAAAGAACTCCTCGGCACCACAAAACCCGTGGACCTTAAAATTTCCAGGAAAGGAGCAGCAACTGTGCCACTGAGCTGGGGCCTGGTGTCTGTCTTACCCTAAACTCATGGTTTTACAGGTCAGTATGGCCCTGGGATGGAGGTCTCCACAGCTGAGGATGGGAATGCTGTGAGCCTGGAAGGTAAGCTGTGGAGGGGCAGGGGCAATTGGGAGGGGCTGCATGTCCTTGTCCTGTTGCAGACAGGCTGGGACAGCCTTCAGAAAAAGAGGCGTGCAGGTGGTAGGGAAGGGTTGTGCAGTGGCAGGGAACAGCTTGGTGCCTGGTGCATCTCCTTCTGTAAGGAGCAGATTTGGAGAGATGTTTTGTGTCCCTCCTTTCAGCTGTCAGTGGGCAGAGGAGCCTCCTGGGGTGCCCCAGAGCTGAGCCCCCACAGCCGGTGCCGCTGGGGCTGCACAGCTCCTTTGTCAGGGCACCAGACGTGTTCACTGGGCCCCCAGCCAGCAGGTCACCTCTCTGCAGAGGCCCCGTCAGCCCTGGGTGCCAGCATTCCCACCCAGCCCTTGGGAAGGAGCCACCTGCTTCCCCTGGGCATCCCTGCCACCAGCTGCAGCTGCCAGCCTGGGGACCGGGGCCGCGTCCCTCCCCTCCCGGCCCCTTCCAGCTGCAGGAACAGGGCTTGGGGCATGCAGTGCTGTCGGTGCCAACTGCCAGCTGGGAAGGGGGAGGCTGCTGCTGTGCCAGCAGCGAATTTGGAGATGCTTCCAGACTTCCCCCCTCCGTGAGCTGTTTGTACAAACCGTCTGCCTGAGCCGGGGTTTGTGGGGAGTGCACGGAAGGAGGAGCTGGGAAGGCACAGCAATGGGTGTATCCCTCTTCCCTTCATATTATCCCCACATCCTGCCTGTGGCTGCCTGCGCTGCTCGCAGCAGGATGGAGAGATGGGCTCTCCGGATGTGCCGGCAGCTGCAGAGGTGTTGGTGGTCAGTGCTGGGGGCTGTGTGAACACCCCATTTATCACCCCCACACACCAGCAGCCGCTCCTTATCTCTCTTCCCAGCTGGCATGGTCCATGCCAAGGCTGGAGCTGGAGAAATCGGTCTCTCTGTCACCCTCTTCTGAGCTGGTGGGTTGTGCTCTCTCTGCCACTGGTGCTGGTGCCTGCCTTGCTGTGCCCGGGCAGGCGCTGGGGTGTTTTTGGGGGCTGTGCTGGGAAATGCTGCTCGTGGCTCCTTTGGCGAGGGGCTGCTGGGGGCTCTCTCAGCCATGGCTTTATAAATTCAAACAGATGTGTTTTAGGAAACCCCAGCTTTGAGACGTGCTCTCTGTTTAAGTGGTTTCGGAAGAAATTTGCACTTCAGTGGATGTGCGGAAAAATGGTGTTTTCAAAGCAAAAATGAAATGAAAACCAGCCTTCCCCCTCCCTCCCCCAGTGAAACACTATTTGCAAAGTGGGGCCTCTGTTTTGAGGTATTTGAAGCACACAGACATCCTTCTTCTTGCTTCCTCTGCTTTGCTGTTCTTTTCTTTGCTTCTATTTCCCGTATTTTCTTTATGTCCCAAGTCCATTCTCAGAGAGCTCTCAGCTCCCCTTGTCACTTGGAGGGTGTAGGGTGTCAGGAGAGAGCTGCTGAAGGGTTGTCTAGTGTATTAAATCCCTATATATTCCATTTTTTTGGATAAAAAGTGCTCAGAACTGAAATTCTCTGTAGAAACTCTCTTGTTTTTACACACATCAGGCTTTATAATTTATACTTGCTTCCCTGAGGCTGTGCCTGTGAGCAGCTGCCTTGGGTCCTGCCTGTGCACAGGAAGGAGAGTGGATGGATTCCCAGGAGCTGCCGGTTTACCTGTGGATGGGGAGCCTGTTTGCACTGGCAGCTTGATAAATTCCTCACATCCTGCTGCATATCCTTCCCTCTCTGGCTGGGGGGATGATGGGGGGCCTTTTCTGGATGGAGTGACAGGACAAGGGGGATGGATTCAAAATGCCAGAGGGAAGGGTTGGATGGGATACTGGGAGGAATATTTTATGCTGAAGGTGGGGAGGCCCTGGCACAGGTTGCCCAGAGGAGCTGTGGCTGCCCCATCCCTGGAAGTGTCCAAGGCCAGGTTTGGAGCAACCCGGTCTCATGGAAGGTGTCCCTGCCCATGGAATGAACTGAGCTTTAAGGTCTCTTCCAACCCAAGCCATTCCATGGTCCTGTGCCCAGAGGGCAGATTTAAGGCAGAGAGGTTGTGTTGTGTAAACCTGTGTGTGTGTCAGCTTGGCTGTGGTGTCCTGAGCATGGAGACCTCTGAGGGGGGATCCACTGGGTGACGGAGGCTGTGGAGAGTGATGGTGTCAGTCCAGAGAGGGGCAAAGGCCCCCTGGATGCTGGTGGGGCTGGGATTTGGAGGGATGGTGCTGGATATGGGGGAGGACAGACCCGGCACTGCAGATCGGTGGCAGCGAGACCCTGAGTCTGTGCATTGTCCAAGGAGCTGCTCATGTGGTCTCAGTCGAGCCAAAATACTCTTTCAGAAAGAGAACGGGCCAGATGTCTCATTATTGCTGCTCACAATGCTGCCCTCCCAGGCCAGCGATCCATCAGGGGCTCGGCACAGCCCCACAGAAAGGTCCCTGACACGTTCTTACAGCAGGGCCAGGTTCTCACCACTTGTGTGCATTTGTGCCCCTTGACAAATGGCTGCCGGGCTCCGGTTTTGTTCCGAGTGGCGCTGGTGTCAAGCACAGGGCTCCTATTCAAGTGCCCACCAACGGTGGCCCACAACTCACCGCTTCCTCTCCTTCTCTTGCTTTGTTTCCCCATGACAGTCACTCGGGAAGTTTTTTGCAGTCTCACTGGGTATTTTTAAAGGCAGTTTTCAAGGGGCAAAGGAGCGCCTCTATAGCAAGGACTGTAAAAATGCCTTGGGAGTACACGAGGTGAGGAATTCCTGCTTGCGTGGCTGCGTTGCTCACACGACATTTAATTGCCTTTTTCTTTTTTTAGGCAATTTTTCCAACAAGTTGATTTATGGAATTGGCTGGCAAAGCCTTGAATACATTGAGAAATACAACTTCTACAATGGACCAACACATCCTTAAGGAATGAATGATTCCTCTTTAAACTGGGAACTGTGCTCCTGGCTGCTCCAAGCACCTTGGGAACGGAGGAGGATTAGGACCAGGCTGTGAACTGTGGTGTTTGTCCTGCTGTGTAAACCTGTACTGGTAAGATGTTGGCTTTAAACTGCATTCTAAGTTATGTGTGTGCCCAAAATTGCCTATAGAAAGTGCCCCAGAGGAGTCATGGTCTGTACAGAGACACAGCACAAGGATGTCCCAGCCTGCAGAAACTGGCAGTGTGAGCTCACAGGCTGCTGGTAAAACCCAGGCAGGCCAGTCCATGCAACCCTGGGTGCCAGTGTGATGTTTCTGTCCAGATCTTCTGGTTATGAAAAGTTTGGTTTTATAAATAAGGAGCCCTTTGTATTCTCCAGACAGTGACTTTCTGCCATATTTTCTCACTGCAGTTCCCCTCTGACTTCAGTGAGTATTTTGTGCGCTCAGAGAGCGTTTTCCATCCCTTGAGCCTGAAAGGGAAGAGGATTTATGGAATGGGGAGCTCGAGGCACCAACTCAGCAAATACCAGAGTGTGTATGTAAGTGCTGGCAGGTTGGAGATGGAAGTACACAAGTGGTCTTGATCATCTTAAGCCACTCTGTTGCTGGGTCCAAGGGCTGAGCTGGGAGCAGGTAGCGCAGTTTGCACATTGACATTTTCAGCTGCCTTGTCTGAGGAGAGCTTTCCCTCTGCCCTGATCTTGCATCTTCTTCCAGTTAGCCTGTCTAACAGACTTACAGCTACCCGGCTCCACATCATGTTGCCAGTGCAGCAGGTTCAATTATCTTCTTATGGTCTTAATCTCCATTCTCTTCAATTTTGGCAGGTACATGATGATGTCTGTGACCCATTAGTGTTTCTCTCTCTTTCTGACCTGTTGTTGTCCCCCCTAATGCTATTGTTATGGAGGTTTTTGGTGGCTCTTCCTATGTCTTACACTTTCAGTAAAGATCAGCTTTCACTCCAGCCTTCAAAGTCGTCCCTTGCTTTTTTCTAGCCAGGTAAAGCCTGGGGGGTCCTGTGGCAGATAATGTGAGCGTCTCGACTGGTAATTATAAAGCCAGGATCTGTAATTAACTTTTCTATGAAACTCTCAACCCCAAGGTGTGCCTTTATCCCTCTATTAATTAGCACAGGGAAGGGACGCTCCTGTCTAGAGGCAGAAGACAAAAATAGGAGCAGGGGCGAAATAGAACTGGTTCCTTTGAATGATAAATATTGTTCCCTTTATGCCTTAAATGAGAGTTTGGCTAAAACTAGGGGGGGTTTAACTCTTGGAAAAACTGACTTAAACAGAATTGGAGGAAATAGTCCTGGATTAGGCACCAGAAACCTCTTCCAGCAAATTTCTCTCATTCGAAGGTAAGCTCAGCTCAGTTGATACCTGTGTATTCTTGGTAAAGGTTTGTTCAGCCTGTTTCTGGGACTGTTGAAATGTTCTGGTTTTGCAGACATGAGGCTTGGGAGGACACTTGGGTTTGTGTGTTAACCCCCGTGAGCTGTGGCTTTGGGAACAGACCACATATTTCCAGAGCTGTTAACATGTCACTATTTGCATACTATTTTTTTTTTTAATATTAGCAATTTGGAAACAGTTTAAAAACTCTTCCATGGAAAAGACTGTCTGAGAATAGAGTTTTTTTCACAAACCTTCATGAGGAATTGATTATGCAGTCGTGTGTACTGGAAGGAGAACTTGATGTACCTCCATATAAATCTACAAGCAGCAGGAGTTGTTCTGCCAGATTTGAAGCAAAGAGAAGAGTCTCCCAGGGGAGAGGGTAATAGCCAACAAAAGCAGGTAGTGTCTGGCAAATCTTACTGGGGATTCAAAACTGGCCAAGCTGGAGAGCACAGCAGTAGGATACCTGTAGGATGCCTGCCTGAGGACTGTGCAGCTTTGCCAAAGAAAGTTGAACTAGGTAGTTGAAGTGTTTGTTGGTTGGCTGGACTAACTTAAAAACGAAAAAAAAACAAAACCAAAAACTATTTCAGTTGAGCCCACTGAAGGTTTTTGGGGGACTCTTGGGAGAAACACCATCTGCACAAATGATGGCAGCTGAGTGTTCCCCCTCTGATCTGCACTCATGGCCAGTAAGGGCTGCACTGTGATTACATTTCCAAGCCTCCCATGTTTCCCAGTAGGAAGCTGACGGGAGAGCACTGTGCTGTAACACTGAGCTTCTCTGGAGGCATTGGGGTGGAAGTGTGTTAAGACATGATTTAAATTCACCACCAGGCCCAGACATTCCTTCCAGGAGGTCTAAGCGTGCCTGTGTGTCTTGGCTCTGCAGGTTCTGAGCTGCCGTGGGCCTTCTGACTCGTGGGGTTCCTGGAGGCAGGCAGCCTCCCCAATGGGGGTGATATTTGTGTTTGGGGTTTGTTTTGCTCATTGCACAATTCCTTGGAATAACTAACGCCTTTCACCTTTTCCTCTGCATCCCACTCGGTGACTCAGGACGAAGGCATCTGACTCAGAGCAGTGTGTTTGCTGGGCTGTTTTGTTCTTTTCCAGATGTGCAGGAGCTCTGGGACGATAGCTGGAATGGGGATGAGTGTTATGAGTGGTGCTGGTGCTCAGCTCCAGTTCTCCCAGGAGGTGGAAGGGAGTGAGGCTTTGGCATCATACAGAGGATCCTCATTTTCCATCCAGTTACGGCTGATGACACCCCTTTGGATCTGGGGCATGTGGGAGCTGTTTTATCTTGGCAAGTGTTTCAGGTGAAACCACCACTGAGGTGGTGTGCCCAGGTGGCCAAGAAGGCCCAGGGCACCTCAGCTGTGCCAGCCATGGTGTGTCAGAGGACCAGGGCAGTGCCCACCCCTGTGCTGGGCACAGCTGAGGCCCCTCGAGGGCTGGGCCCAGTTCTGGGCTGTCACGGAAGAGACACTGAGGGGCTGGAGCGTGTGCAGGGAAGGGAACGGAGCTGGGAAGGGGCTGGAGCAGCAGGAGCAGCTGAGGGAGCTGGGGGGGCTCAGCCTGGAGAAAAGGAGGCTCAGGGGGGACCTTCTGGCTCTGCAACCCCCTGACAGGAGGGGGGAGCTGGGGGGGGTCGGGCTCTGCTCCCAGGGAACAAGGGACAGGACAAGAAGGAAAGGCCTCGAGTTGTGCCAGAGGAAGTTTAGGTTGGATATTGGGAACAATTCCTTCATGGAAGGATTGTCCAGCCTTGGCATGGCTGCCCAGGGCAGTGGTGGAGTCCCCATCCCTGGAGGGATTTAAAAGCCATGTGGATGTGGCACTTTGTGGCGTGGTTTAGTGGTGGCCTTTGCAGTGCTGGGGGAATAGTTGACTCAAATATCTTAGAGGGCTTTTCCATCCTTAACAGTTCTATGACTCTGTGAAAGCAGTGGCTTCAGGGTACTCTCTGCAAGATGCAGTGGTTCAGCACAGATCCTCCCTGGAGACAGCCTCACGAAATGAAGGTCCAAAACAGGGAATTGTCCAGGCCTCCCTACTTACCTCCCACCTCTACTCAATCTGGTTGATCGTGGAGCCATTAGGGTGGCTTAAAGTTCTACCTCTTCATTACCCACCATCATCCCTGTCTCCTTGCAAGGAGTGTCCAGGGTCAAGCCATGCAGATTTCCAGAGCCAAAGCAAAGCAAACCAAACTCTTAAATTCTTCTAACTCTTGAAAGGCCCTCAGATGCTGTGATATGGGGCCCAGAAATGCTTGGGTTATTAGCTGCTAATAACCATGGAGGGCTGCCAGCACTGGGAACGGCTTGTGCTGTTGTCACAGCACAGGGGACAGCTGAGCAGTGCCTTCCTGGAGGTGTTCCTGAAGAGCCTGATGGGCTCAGACCAGGGGGGTTTAGTGTTGGGAGGGACCTTGAAGTTCATCAGCTTGAGACTGTTTCCTCTTGTCTTGTCTCTTGTTCCCTGGGAGAAGAGCCTGACCCCCACCTGGCTACAACCTCATGTCAGGGGAGAAGAAACTTCTTTAGGTGACACCTCTGTATTTACCTGAAGAGAACCAAAGCATTAAGAAGTGTGAAGGGCTTCTTAGACTGGCCAGCATTTCTAGCTCATGTTATCAGTCCATCTGTACAGAAGCCCTCATCCAAGGCTAGACAAGGCTGAATGCAAATAGTGAGGATATATTTGTGTGCTGTGACATAACTACAGCACCAGGCTCTGATTCATGTGCTAAGTTGGTACTTCTCAGTGCTATAAGTTGTGCATTACATCCTTAATTAACTATTAGGAGAGCTTTAGACATTGCATACATTTAGTTCATGAACTGCTACCCCTGTTCATCACCCACAAAACTGATAATTTTGTGACCCTTGCCTTTCTTAGGACTTGGGATGTCATCAAATTATGGGGCATCCTAGACATCTCTAAAATGTGTGTCTTAATTTATTCCAGCCTTGAGGATATTCTTAGGCTGTTTTGCTGATAAACTCTTCAGAGGATGTGCATGAACCCTCATCCCCCACTCCCACCACTTCTAAACCTTGGCTTGGTCAAGGTTGCTTGTCCAACATTCCACTGTCCCGAGCCTTGAGCTGAATCAATGTCCCTTATCCTTCTGTGGAGGATGGTAATGACTTTGCAGCCCATGTACTCCTAAATGTTCCTCACATGACAAACTAGCCACTGAAGTCTGGAGGGAGTCTCCTTAATGTTTGTATTTATAGGCCCAAATGAGTATGGCCCTGTGGAGATCCTTGCCTCCTGCAATGATTCCAGCTCCAGCCTGTGTGTTCCTTGTCAGTCTAGGCTTGGAAGGGATCTTAAAGCTCATCTCATTCCACCCCCTGCCATGGGCAGGGACACCTTCCACTAGCCCAGGTTGCTCTAAGCCGTGTCCAACCTGGCCTTGGACACTTCCAGGGATCCAGGGGTAGCCCCAGCTTCTCTGGGCAACCTGTGCAAGTTGAGTCAGGATCTTAGGTTTAAAGGAGGCTTAAATTTTAACTCACTCCCAGTCCAGGTTAGAGGCTTTCCTGTGTAATGGTGAATGTGGGGGAACTAAAGGCAAGATCCTGATTGCTTCATGCACGACATATAAATCTATCCTGGATAAAAGTAGTGCTCAAAATCATCTGATGAGGTTGTCAGGGCAGGTCACCAAACAAAAGGTGACACAGACTGTCT